ATTATGTTGGAGAATGTGTGTGTTTCAAAGAGATGTGTCTGTGTGTGTGTGTGTGTGACTGTGTGTGTGTCTATGTGTGTGTGTGTGAGTGTGTGTATATTTGTGTGTGTGTGTGTGACTGTGTGTGTGTGTGACTGTGTGTGTGTGTGTGTGGAATGTAGTTCTTATAATTACACCTTTTTGTTTATCTTAGGCTACTCTTTCCAGTCCAAACATCTGTTGTGAAACTGATTATGAGCTAAACAAATACATCAAATCAAATCATTCCTAAAAGAATCGCCCAAGTCATTTTTTTTCTAGTTTTTAAGATAATGACCTGTGTATTGACTGTGACTGAAGCCGAAATAGGTTTTTTGTGTTTAGAATCAAATGATTTGATCAACTGAGAATATGGGCGGTTTTACCACTGGTGATCAACATCCTGAGCTGATTTATGCCCCCAAAAATGTTTTTGTTGACAAATTACTTGGTCAYTTATTTTAGGAAGGTGACGATATGTTGTCCTATTGAAAGCAGTCATGCAAACTTTGTCTTCTTTCTCTGAAATATACAGACTGTTGATTAATTTGGGTGGTGCTGCAGGAAACATGCAGGCCACAAACTGTTTTGCATGGTCCAGGTTTTCAGCCAAGCTCATTTGACCCTTTTGATATTTCAGCTAATGGAACATGTATTTGAAATCAATAAATTTGTCCCTCACACTCAAAATATAATCCAAATTTGCAGCAAGGCTGAAGATTGCAAGCTCTGTACTTTTGCAAAATTCCAACAAAAAGCACTGTGATTAGTGTTAAAATGTTTACTGGATCAACTTAGAGACATGCATGCTTTAAAACCCCTTCATTGCAATACTTTTATATCAGAATACCTTGGAATGGTCTTCCTATTGTGCTTATATGTTGTCTGTTTTTTATGATGGATGTTTCTAACTAAAATTTCCACTGTTTACATGCACATCATGTAGCTGAAAGCCTGTATTAATAAAAGTTTCTGGCTGTTGTGATACCAAACATTTCTGACTGGGGCTGCTGCTGGTTTTTCTAAGACTGGTAAAATGGAAAACYCAGGACTTTGTGAAATGTTTCGATACAACCGTTTAAGCTAAATCCAAGTTGTGTCACATAACTATGAACACAAGTAAAAAAGAAATGAAGATGTCTTCAGGGGTTTCCTTCTTGTGTTGTTGTGTGAAGTTTTCTCGGTTGTTGTTTTCGGGCCTTTGATCGTGTGAACCTGGAGCTCTCACAAATAAAGCAAACTATATTGTTTTCTTTTTATAAATATTGTCTATAATAGTAATGGTTATGCTTCTATCTTGGTTCAAATATCAAAAAACTCATTCTCCACATTCTTGTTTGCCTAAATTCTGCTGTCATTATCCTCTTAAACCTTTTCAGCCTCTCAGTCAGTGCATTTAGCCTTCATCCCCTCATTTGCCAGTCTTCATCATTCTCCATCTCTCACTCTTTGAAGCAGTGTATTCCTCACTGTATTGTTACACCTCCAGCTCTCAGGCACTTGTCCCTTRATTTCTCTTTTTTAATCTAACTTCACCTTTTTTGTGTGTTTGTGTGTGTGTGTGTGTCCTCCTCTGCCCTCGTTCAGATGTGGCCCCTGCAGAACAGGAGAAGCTCTTCATCCAGAAGCTGCGGCAGTGCTGCGTTCTGTTCGACTTCCTCTCCGACCCGCTGAGTGACCTGAAATGGAAGGAGGTGAAGCGGGCGGCCCTGAGCGAAATGGTGGAGTACATCACCCACAACAGGAATGTCATCACAGAGCCCATCTACCCGGAGGTGGTGCACATGGTCAGTACGGTGGGATGGGGTTAAGTTTGCTGTTAGTGTTTTTAAGGACTTGTCCAGTTTTCATAGAAAGTAATGGACTGAAGTTCAGTGCAGCCCACATTAGTCTGTCTACCTTTTTTTTTAATATATTCGTACATAAAATGTCCTTTTTCAGACAAGGCTTTTAGTGTTTTAGTAGGCCACCTGCACTGTCCTGTGATCTGCCTGGCAAAAAACAGCAGCCTGCAGGGGAGTCAGTTGACACTGAGGCACCAGAAACACAAGACTCTTAGGTTGCATMCTAGGGCTGCACAATATATCGAACATTTATCGTCATCGTGATAACAGCCTGTGTAATAGGCATATCGCAAAAAACGGAATAAACTGCAGTAAACGGTTGGCTCAAAATTTTACATTTGTGTGTTTTGCCACTCCGACGGAAGCTTGAAGTATTTCACCAATCAAATGGACCCTTTCACATATTTGACCAACTGGATGGATCTCTTCATATAAAAAAATAACTCATGTTGGATTGGAAATGATTAGTTGTTGTTGTTGTTGTTGTTGTTGTTTTTGGCTTTTAACCCAGAGCAGAAGGACATCAACACTACATACTTATGTATTTGTTCATTTATTGCAAATCATAATGTCATTGCAATATTAAGCACTGTTATTGCACATCTCAGGTTTTCCTAATATTTTGCAGCCCTAGTGTGTTCACACCAGCCCTGTTTAGTTCGCTTTAATCAAACTKTTAGCCTGGTAAAAACCAGACCCTTGTCCTTTGCTTTGCTACGTACGAGGGCCTGGACTCTCGGCTATAGAGAAGCAATTCTTGCAGGAGGCGTGGCCTCTGCTGAAGTTTAAAATGATTGGATCGATTGGCCGCGACGTATGTCGTTGTGAAGGAGGCTAAGCTAAGAAGCTAACCGGAAATTGCGTYTGCTATAAACAACCCTACTGAGAGGAGAGAAGTACCGAGCCGAACGAGACGACTGTAAATGAGAGCTGCTGCTTTGTCAGAKAAATTTAATTTAATTTGGAAGCCTMATCAACACYGACTGYCTTCATTCACTTCCTCCACTGCCGTATGCTAAAKTAACTAGCAGACACTTGCGCAGAAAATCYACGTCYTTCAAAACTCCGCCTTCTGTTTGCTGATTGGCCCAGGTAAAATAAACTACAAGCAGACACTGAGCAGAAAATCYACYTRCTGTTCTCTGATTGGCCCAGACGAAATGCTCCCAAAGAAATGCTRGTCTATGGGAGAAATSCCAGACGGYGCAGTGAAGGGAAACTAGAAWTGAGCGGAACTGCYTAGGAAGGCAAGGGCCAGGCTAACAAAGTTTGTTTGCCTGAAAAGTCCGYTTCTTTTYGGAAGTGTGAACGWGTAATCGAACTCTGATTRGGACCAAAAAAGKAAACTCTGCTCCGCCTCCAAGTCTAGGTCTTGATTTGGTTGAAGTGAACTCTGGTGCGGTTCGATTGCATGTGTGAACGCTAAGTGGACTGGAGACTGCTACAAAAGCAGAAAGCAGACTATAACGCAGAGCATTCTGAGTAATAACAGTAAWAAGGTTACTCATATCTTTGAAATCCCTCGCTCCACGTCTGTAGAAGGAGGACATCACTGCTGTGAAGTTGGGCGCGCTCCTACTCTGTGAACGCCGCCTCACATGGAGCGGTCTTAGCTGCCTCGTGTGGGGAAACAATATTCTCCGCGGTTCCACCTCATCTTCTGCTCATGCTGAGCTCATTGTTGAAGACTATTTGGCACATTTGCCAAAAGCAAAAAATAAATCCTACAACCACTAAAATAAAGACGSAAGTTACACTGCATGTCTTCTTCTGATGTTTTCATGTCGATTCCTTCAGTGGTTCTTGGTGCAGCYCCCCCGTAGGTGAGGTGAGGGAGGGAAAAGGTTGTTCACAGGGTTTACTTCATTTGACAAAGTGCAGTGTGAATGTGAACRGCACCAACTGAAAATGTAAACAAACCTCACAGTTTTYGTCCCCAATCAAACACACACCGAATCTATACAACCTTGAATTATTGAGGGACGAGCCAAGACAAAGTTAATGTCAACCTAAACACAAAAAACATTCAGGTTAAGTTGTTTTACCTGCTGTATGAACTTAATTCAAAAAGTGCCGGCTCAATAAACAGATTTCTGCTTTAACAGAAAGAAAACCAATGAAGTGAACATTCACGGTGTCTTTCTTTCTTTTTCAGTTTGCTGTAAATATGTTCAGGACATTGCCTCCATCGTCCAACCCAACAGGAGCAGAGTTTGATCCTGAGGAGGATGAGCCGACACTTGAAGCCGCGTGGCCCCACCTCCAGGTTGATGTTTTTTACCTTCTAACCCTCCGTATCACAACGTCTCATCTAAAAGCTGTTCTTTAGAGTTACACAGTGTTGCTATGTTCTCGTAGCATGAAACCTCAGCTTCTGTATCCTTACCTTTTTAAATACTTCCTGACACTTGCCAATTGTTTTGTCTTTTGCAGCTCGTCTATGAATTTTTCCTTAGGTTTTTAGAATCGCCTGACTTCCAGCCTAATATAGCAAAGAAATACATCGACCAGAAATTTGTTATGCAGGTAAAAAATGTTTCTAAAATCAATAAGACAGCAATGCTCATAAAGTTTAAGGAATAAAAGTGTAAGCTTTGATGTTTGTGTTAATAATGCTGTTTTCCCCTCATGTGTTGCAGCTCCTAGAACTATTTGACAGTGAAGATCCCAGAGAGAGGGACTTCCTGAAAACTACTCTGCACAGGATCTATGGGAAGTTTCTGGGGCTGAGAGCGTACATCCGAAAACAGATCAATAACATTTTCTATAGGTCAGTGCTGGTCTTCTATCAATCTCCTCGTGTTTACTCACGTAATAAGTCAAGAACAACTGATACACACTTTGTCAGATTGTTTGTTATGGACTTTGTTTTTTCTTTATTTTTGCAGCTTTATTTATGAAACTGAGCACCATAATGGTATAGCTGAACTACTGGAAATACTTGGAAGGTGAGAGTGCACAACTCTGTAGTTTTAGTTTTAATTGATTCGTATTTTTGACATGGAAATTAATTTTTTTAGTATYAAAGCTTTCTCATTTTAACTACTTTATTTCTCCAGTTATCAAATGTTCTGAAGTTGTTCGCTTTTCTCTTTAGTATAATCAATGGATTTGCCCTACCACTGAAAGAGGAGCACAAAATTTTCCTGCTAAAGGTTTTATTGCCTCTGCACAAAGTCAAATCACTCAGTGTCTACCATCCACAGGTATGMGTCCTTACCTACAGCGAAGAAAAAAAAACATCTAAATTTGATTTGTTGAACTTTTTATTTGAAATGTGTGCATTATTGACATTATTTGTGACATATTAGCATATCCTATCCCAAACTCCTCTTTCGTTGAGTCAGAAACCTGTATGGTGGGTTAAAGCTTGATTTTGTTTGTGTYTTGCAGCTGGCCTACTGCGTGGTGCAGTTTTTGGAAAAGGACAGCACTCTAACGGAGCCTGTATGTATTTTATTTTATTTGTTGATGCATTCTCTTTGATTGGTTATTAATAATTATCACTCATTTTTTTTGTTTATTCTTCAAACAGGTGGTTATGGCTCTACTAAAGTACTGGCCAAAGACTCACAGTCCTAAGGAGGTGATGTTCCTCAACGAGCTGGAAGAAATCTTGGACGTCATCGAGCCCTCTGAGTTTGTGAAGGTGCAGGAGCCGCTTTTCAGACAGCTGGCCAAATGTGTGTCCAGCCCACACTTCCAGGTACCGGATCACATTTTTTTATGCAAATACAATCTGTTAATTAGGCTGTGTGGTATCGGACTGTGCTGCGACTAGTTAATGATTTAAGAGGGAACCATAATGTCTAAAAATGATCAAAAATCGCACTGAAAAAGTTGTCCATCTTACCACGTCTCTGTTTTTTTGCTGAATAGAAGATTGTATTTTTTTAATCGTGTTTTGAGACTGATAAAGGAGTAGAATGTGTTAGGTTATTAATCTTGTTAGCCTAGAAATTTTAGTTGTTTCAATAAGTCTTACAAAGTGCGATTGTCTTACTGCACTTGGTAGATTATTTCACTTTGAGAAGATTCAGACTATAATGTAGTATTTTTAACTTGTTTTTAGATGGCTAATATTTGCTGCGTGGCCAAACAAAACACAACTGCATGACTCGCTGGTTGCTTGATTGCAAAACCTCAGAACTAAGAAGCAGAAAAATTCCCTATTTTCTGTCAATTTTGAGTCTCCAGCAGTCTGTAGTCATTGTAGTCAGACACTCAGTATATATTAAAATGATTTTCAAAATGTCCCTCTCTACTTAAATTAAAACAAAGTAAAAAAAAAKAACAGTTGTGATGATTTGACATCTTAAAAGTGTCATTTGTGCAATAGATGAAAAACACTAAACTAAACTTGTATAAAGAGTGAAAACAGGCATTTTATTTTTAAGTGGCAGGATTTGTATCCATGCTGTTATTATGAAGCTCGTCACATATTCATCTTATGTAACCTTGAATATCTGACTGATGTTTTCTTCAGGTGGCAGAGAGAGCCCTGTATTATTGGAACAATGAGTACATCATGAGTCTGATCAGTGACAACGCAGCCAAAATTCTGCCCATCATGTTCCCCGCTCTCTACCGCAACTCAAAGACGCACTGGAACAAGTAAGCTGCTCGGCTTCAGGACCCTCAGCTGTAGGGCTGTTTTTGTCAAAGCTCAGCGTTTTTTTTCACTGCAAACAGCGGCGAGTCGGACAGAACGGTCTTTACCGGAGTGTGTACATWTCTGAGCACGGCTGCAGAACAACATCCTCTGACAATCAGTCACCTGTCAGCAAATGTCWGTCTAGAAATTGTTCTTTATCATCATGTTTACAGTGAAGACAAACGCTCTGTTTAAAATGACAGGTTTTTGTGACGTAGAGTTTGAAATAAACAAAAAACTCCTGTAATGTGTCAGATCCATTATCTGRCACTTSTTTTGGAGTAGGGTAGCATCTCTGCAGCCTCTTTGTCCAGATCCTGTCTTGTTTTCTTTTCATTTTCTACATAATGTCTTCTAAACATCTTGATAACRGTCACTGTCATTTATTATATATCTAATTTTGAAGAATTTTTTTAAATGCTCTCCTTTATAGATACTTTTTAACTCATCCTTGTAATGAGTTCTATTTTGCAACTCGATAAAAGTCAGGACAATCCTGCTGAGTCTTCTGAATTTAATTTCAGGTTGATTCGAGTCACTTCAGTTGATGTCTTTCAGCTGTAATTAGATGGAAAAGTGCTTCGACCCCTTTTTAGTTTAAGAGTGTAACTTTTTTTGTTGTTGTACAGGATTTATTTTACAGTAAATGTGGAAAATGTGTTGAAATGATTGTGGTTTTGTTTTTTCACAAAAACCTGGAGTTTTACCAGTGGAGTGTACACATTTGTCCACAGTATGTTACATAATGTTGGGCTTTAAAGATAATTACAGCTGGTCATTTGCTGCTTGTCTTATAGCCTCCTATCTGTAAATCTCAAAAGTTATTCAGCTTTGCAGATGTCTAACTATTTGTTTTTACCTCCAAACATTTTTTTCTTATGCTTTTTTTCAGGTCAATGATTATAATTTTAATTTCAATGTGTTGCTTCGAAATAAAACGAGGCTTCTACAAACTGTTCTTGTTACTTGCTAACATTTGGCTGTGTGTGTTCACAGGACCATCCACGGTCTGATCTACAACGCTCTGAAGCTTTTCATGGAGATGAATCAGAAGCTCTTTGACGATTGCACACAGCAGTTCAGAGCTGAGAAAAACAAGTAAGCTCCAAAGACGTTTTAACCCACGTCATCCTTTTTATATATACAGCATATACTTATAGTCTTAATTCTGCTGATGGATTTCTGTGTTAAGTGTTACTTAAATCAGAGTGAAACAGAAAAGTAAAGGAGTTTGTATCACGTCAAACAGAGAGAAGGTGAAGTCAAAAGAACGTGAAGAGGCTTGGATCAAGATCGAGAACCTCGCCAAGTCAAACCCACAGGTGAGCAGTTTATTGAATTCTGTAAATATATTTTGATGAAATATAATTCAGAACAGGCAGTTCTTGTTTTATCTGTAAGTTCAGTCATTTCTGTGGAGTGGTTTTGTTTTTTTGTTTAAGAAAAGACGTCACACACGTTTTGGAGATGATTGAGTGTTGAGGTTTAGACTGAGGTGCGTTGCCAAACATAAAGATGAAACAAATTTTAAAAAACACTCAAGTATTTCACATCTAGATGTAAAAATGAAAAAAACACGACTTGTATTAATAAAGATAAGTAACATGAGTGACAGTGAAATTTGCACCATGATGAGAAATGTTGCATGGTGTCAACATGCTCGCCAGTTAATGGATAATTATGTAAAAGTTTTATGACTAAGAAAGAAGGAAATGATGATGATTTTTGTTTTTGTTGAATTAATCACTTGTTCTTTGAGGTCTTAAGTTTATTACAGGAGTTATTTTGTTGTTGTTTTTGCTTGATGGTTGAACTTTATTCATGTTGTATCTTGTTTAAATGTTTTTGTGTAGAGCTGTTTCCTTATCAAAATGATTCCCCTTTCCATCTTGTCTGGACTTGATGAGCCAGTGCCTTCAAGCTTTTAGATAACTGGAAAACTTCTCAGTTGTGATAAATGTTTGTCTTAAATATCTCTGAATGAAAGCAGCTGATCTMTGGATTCCACCGTGGAATTCTGGGTAATTCAGTGATCTATAGAGTAATTTATCTTTATGTAAACGTTGAGCTTCAGTTAACTTAGCAGATGAAAGTGGTAAACTAAATCCAGTGTTTCTGGTCTACCTTCATTTCCGTTTTGTTCTGCTGCCTGATATTTCAACTGGAGCCAATAAAACTGGTGACATCTGTCATTTTATTGCAAAAATCATGTAACTGCTCTCTAAAAGTGTAAAAATCTCTACATTCGTAATCAAAGCAGTTATTTTCATGATGATTTTTAACTTTAGGCCAAAAAATCGTTTGATTTAAAAGTGGTCCTTTGATGGTCAGTYTTTAATTGAACTGCAGTAAAAATCAGGCTTCAGCTCTCTTTTATCACTTCTTCTTTGCATGCAACTGAAAGTCTTTTCTCCATCCTCTCTTTTCGACGTAGTTCTGTACGCATGTTCATTCCTCTGACCTCAGTAGTCCTGTAGCAATGGAGACGGATGTCCCTTTGATAGAAGATGTACAGAGGTTAAAAAAGACAGTTGAGGAGGGCGCAACTCAGGTAAACCTGACTTTCTCTCTGTCCGCTTCCTCTGGTAGTTCTAGCTCAGCTTGCAAAGATTCCTCATCGAGCTGCTTTAGGCTATAAAATCTGTTCTGATTTATGTTTGAATTTAATATCTTTTTTTTCCTTCTAGTCACCAAAGCTTAAACAAACCTGGCCATCAAGAACCTTTTAACATGCTTAAAAACCTTTTTTTGCATTTTGTTTATATTGAGTAAATCACAAAACATGGGAATAGATAATTAGGAACAGATCAATCAGCTTCAGCTGAATGATAAACGAATATGGTTTTGTAAATGCATTACTTTATTAAACTAAAAATATTAGAATTCTAAATAAAGAACTTATTACGGTTCATAAAATGTAAAAAAAAAAAAGTTGAGTAGGTCCACTGGGCAAGTTCTTTGTTGAATTTTTTTTTTTTTTTTTTTTCCTCTGTCTGAGGAGTACATGTAAACTCAGCAATCTGTGTATGGTTTGTTTGTTCTTTTATGTTTGTTTCAAAATAAAATTGCAATTTTTTTTGTTGCTTAAAGCCTAAATGTAAAAAGGTAAACTCAAAAAAAAAAGATCCACAGTGTTTAATTTCTGCTTCGCTTAGCTCCAACATAAAATACTGTATATCATTGTTGTTTAAATATGCTCTTTTGTTCACGGTAAGCTCTTCAGCTCAGTGAGATGCATCGACTCCCTCCATTTCTAAAGTAATTCATCAGGAGTTGACTTCTGGTTCCACCAGATCTAACAAATGTGCTAACAATCGTTAGACCCTGATATAGTGGGCGGAGTCACACTCGTGAGACCTCCGGATGGTCTCTCTCTTCACAAAATGGCTTCCTCTTCCTCGTTTTTTTTCCAACAAAGAACTCATCCAGAGGACCTACTGAACTTTTTAATTTTTTAGATGTTATTTGACCTGGATTATTGAGATGCATCAGGACATTCATAAAATGTGTAGTAATGTCGTGTGTTTTAAACCCGGACTGTGTCTTGATTTTTCTCAGGCGACTGGAAAGATCCACTCAGAGATATTGAAACTCCTGACTTTTATCTCTCCGTCTCACAGTTGCAGCACGAGCAGCGAAAAGAGCGGTCCATGGTGAGACGCAAGTCCGAGCTGCCTCAGGATATCTACACCACAAAAGCCTTGGAGTCCCACCGTAGAGCTGAAGAAATGTTGACCACCCACGATGGGCTCTAGACCCCCCAGCAGCCCTGCCCCTCCCACCCTTCACTTCATACCTTCYACAGCCATGGACATCTTCTTTGTGGGATTGAACGGGTGAACCATGTTTTCGTCCCCCTCCCCACCATCTTAGTTCGTTCTTCATTCCTGCTTCTCCATCGCAGAAACTCCTGCATTCACCACTCTTTTTATTCTCTCTCTCTCTCTCTCCCCCTCTCTCTCTCTCTCTCAGGTTTATTTTCCTTTTTAACTGACAATGACTGTGACATGCAGTGTAATTTCTCGTCATCCCCTCCACCTTCCGTGCTTCGTGTCCTACACTCGCTGTAAACATGAAACCCAGGAGTACAGACAGCACAATACAAGTTAATTTGGTTTCACGTGTTCAAATCCAACACGGGGGGTGTAGGAACAGCTCGAATGGCTCTCTAAGGCTCGAGTCTTGGTCTCGAGTTTTCTTCTCACTCAAAAGGAACAAAAAAAAAAAAAAAGTCGATCCGGTTGTTCAGATGAAAGACAACTTTCGTGTCACCTTATGTTCTCATCACTCTAGCAGACACTTTTGTCGGTGCCAAGACTCTTGTGTTTGTTTGATTTACGTTCTGGCCTGCATTTGTTGGTGGTCACTGTTATGGTTTGTTTGTTTGTTTGTTTGTTTTCCCAGCACACTTGAGACCAAACTGAGGCCTGTTCTTAGCCTTGTTCTGGAAAGACGGTGAGGAAAGGGGAGCTTGTCCTGTGGACATCTTGACGCTTTCTGTTTTATTGTTTAGTGCCATATGTCACTCTTTTATACGCTTACTTTAAGTTCCTCGGCTACTTTTCAAGACCAGACCATAGCAGGACGTGAACAGTTCAAACAATGGTACTTGCTGTGTAGCTGTAGGTGAACCTCAGTGAAAACCGAGTTTGCTGCCTACATTATCTCAGCTTATTCTGGGCTTGGATGGAGCATATATGGGCTGCCTACTAAAGATTAGAGCTGTGTTTTTATTCTAGACATAAAATATAATGAATGGAGGTTGTCTGTTATGCTGTTTAAATAGCAGAGGAATAGACCTGTACTGTTACAACTATTAAAATCTCCATAGTGAGTTAATTTGGACTTATTTTTTAAAAATATTGGAGTTGCAGGAATAAAAGATTTTAAATTTTCATAATTCAATTAATCGTAATGTAAATTTCAGTGTATTAAACAGCAATTTATTTTTAAACTGAAAAGCAAATTAAAGCTTGATATTTTCAGTCAGTACCATTGTTTAAACAAAAAAGTTCTGCTAGAAATTTATTTTTTTATATCGGATGTTTTGATTTCTTTGTTTTGTCTCTGATGGTTTGAAGCAAAGTCATTTTTATTTTCATTCCGTTTTTTTTTTGTTTTTTTTGCTTTTGTGGCCGTTCAGAAAGCCCCAGTTCTTAAACATGACTGGTGCAAAACAGCCTCAAAAGATGCCAGATGTGAAATTAAACTGACATTCAAACTCTGTTCGTTAACTGTATTAATACTGTATTTGCTGGAATGCAAAAAAAGATGTAAATTTAAMACTACCATGTTAAACATGTACCTTTTACCCTGGAGGAATGCCATCCATCCAACCGCTTTCTGTTGTCTCGGTCGTCAGATGATGAAACAGTCCTGCTTGCTGGGAGAAATGTATTTAATTTATAAAACGTTGGAGGTTAGTTTTTTTATGTTTTTTTTTTTTTTTTAGTGCTAAAAAAACAAGTCTTCTGTTGTACGACGAGATGGTTTAGAAACTATTTGGTGACTTGTTCTCTTACCACAGGATCTTTATAGGTCTTTTGATTTAACATATAATTTCTAAAACATGTTAACTTAAAAGTGTCCTTTTGTATGTGACCTGTACTATATGATTCATTTATTATTGTATATATGATTTACCTTGTTTCATGTAGTGTTATATATATCTAGAATAATTTTGTACAAATTGTCCGTCTGTACAGAATAAAACATCCATAGCAAATAAAAGAAGTTGCACCGTCTTTTCTTTTTTCTTGTCTTTTTGTTTAAGATGATTTAAAATTAATATAATAACATATAATATAATGGTTGAATTGAATGCACATTTAGGACTTTCAGATTTTCCTTTATTTTATTTTATCTTTTAGGAAAACAACCCAGCAGTTCTGTGTTTAAAAGTGAAAGAATTTTTTTATCGTGTTTCAATTTAATCCTAAAACCTGCACCTGTTTAAATCATTCAGATTTTTGTTGACAGCAAAGAGATTTTTAATCAGTGTTTTTTTTTTATTTTCCTGCATGTTTTAAGATGAAAAAAATATTTCTAACATTTTTACATTTTCTGTAGTACTCTGTTTTGGACACAAGATAGCGACAAATTCAAATGTTCAACTGAAAACTAGCAGGAAAAACATGCAAACGTCTCAGCCGGTGCACTGATTTGATGCTTTCCTTTGTAAAATCATCTCAGCAGGTCCAAGACAGATGAGTACAGATGTTTGTTGTTGAGCACATCTGCCTCAACACGAATGTTGCTGTCAGTTTTAATTCTTTCACAGCAGCTTTTCACTCAGTTTCCTCAAAACTGAGTGCCTTGTCATTTTGTGACTCACATCAGGAATTTTAACTTAAAATAACTTTTGTAAGTCAAATAGAAACTTTTGGCAGCACTAAATTTTACATTAAAATAAAACAAACTAATCAACTTTTTTATCCTAGAATTTGGGTGTAAATTTGTGGAAAAAAAGTGTCAAAATATCTCCTTAAAAGTTCTGTTAAAAGCAAAATTTCAAGTCAAAAGCAGAAACTTACTGTTGCAAATGGTTCTTTTACCGATATCTGTATGGATCTGATAAAGAATGGCAAAAATTTCTGAGTTTATTTGCACATTATTTTTGTACAATGAAAGTATTTTTGTGATACAGAAGAGGCAGTTTGCTTTTAAAAAATRGTAGCACTTTAAATCTAAAGTCAATCTAAAAACAGTGCAGATTAGTTTGTACTGRAGTAGGAATGTTCCGGGTATCAAGAACTCTTAGCAACAAGCAGAACCAAGATGAGAATAAAATGGCAGGATTGAAATTTTTCATGGCTGATCATGTTTTATGACAAAGAAGACCTTATTAAAATGAAATATTTCTGCCTGAGATCAGGAAGATAGGCCTCCTCTCTCTTAAATCCCCCTGCTTCTCCTGAGAAAGTGTAACTCAGTGAGTTGWTTTGGAGTTGTCCTCACCTGGCCTGCCTCGCTCACACATGGCTCCAAACCAAAACACACAGYGCGATGAAAAGAAAACCAGCAGCCATCTGGAACATCGCAGGCTGCCAGAAAATGTTATAGTGTCCAAAAAATGTTACTTTTACTCACCACGGTGTGCCTTGTGTTAAATAATTAATGAATAAATTATTATAAATGTTTGTTAARGTTTTTACTTATTCTGTATTTTTCATTAAGTATGTCTGAGTAAAACTTTGATTTTGTATTGGTGAGAGATGCATTTACAAACAAATGTCCACACATTGAATCCTGCTGCCTGTCTACTGGGAAATAAAAACATGCTTATTAAAATTGTATATGTGACCCATCACATCGAAACAAGGATTAAGTCCAAAAGTGGAATGTGGCGAAATAGGCAGATATAGGGTTTTGATTTAAACAAGGGAAAATTTTGTGTTTTGTCAAAATATAATGAATTAATGTCTTATCAATGTTTCAGTTTGATGAGCTGTCTAAAATATACTAAAAAAAGTTTTGAAGCAACAAAAAATACTCATTTTGGGGAAAAATGACTTAAAATTTTGAGTTTTTCCCTCTGAGCTAGCAGTGTTTTTGTTTCTTTCCAACTGGGAAATCAATACTATTTGAGGTTTCCTCTGTATATTGTCATAAAAATTACTCAATAAATTTACATAAAGTTAGGATTCAGACCAAACAGCAATGTATTATCATAACCAACAAGACAAATTAAGTCATATCTCTGGATGAGCTTATGATATCAGAATAATCCAGGTATCAAAATGGGGCAGCTGGAGTGGTTAGGGGAGTCGTCCTGGAACCGGAAGGTCGCTGGTTTGATCCCCCGTCCAGCCGTCTCAGTTGTTGTGTCCTTGGGCAAGACACTTCACCCACCTTGCCTACTGATGGTGGTCAGAGGGTCCGGTGGCGCCGGTGGATGGCAGCCCCACCTCTGTCAGTGTGCCCCAGGGCYGCTGTGGCTACAGTGTAGTTTGCCATCATCAGTGTGTGAATGTGAGTGTGAATGGGTGAATGTCTGTTAGTGTAAAGCGCTTTGGGGTCCGGAGGGACTTGAAAAGCGCTCTATACTGTAAGTTCAGTACCATTTACCAGTACCATCAAAATGTAGCTTTTAGAGCCAGAAATCTGAAAATGTGATTAGGTCATTTTGACCAAATTTGACTTAATCCTCATTTTGATGTGATGGGTTACARATTTTATAGGAAACTAAACAAAATCTAATGACAAAGTAAAACAGTCACAAAATCTTGTTCCTTTTATTTTCACTACAAGGGGAAAAAACGATTACACAGACTTCTGGGAAAAACTCGTGAAATAAGTGTTGCATCAAATTTATAGATGAGAAACATCACATCTTGTCATAATGTATCGTTTTTATTATTCTTTTTTTTGTACTGAGTCATGGGATTGAAATGTGTTCCTTTTCAGTCATTTCACTCAGTACAACACAAAGTTGTATATGGGACACGCGCGCCTGGCTGAAGCCACCTCTAATCACGTCTTTAGACCYGTGACGTGGTGACGTTGAACGTCGGGTGACAGGCTCCGCCTTCACCCTAAAAGTTTGGAGTCACCAGCGTCATTACTCAGTTCTATCGCCCTTCACCTCGCGATAGTCACCTCTAAACCTGAGCTCACATAGCTGCTGCTAGTTAGCTCAGCTTCTAAGGTTCTTAGGCTAGCTTTACTGGTGCTAACCGCTTTACCTGCTGGTTCGTGTGTCTGCCGCTCGACGCTACTTAAGTGACCTTTATTTTCTGCTGAAAATCTGTTTTGTTGTTCACGATGAGCACAAAACCACCTTCGAAGAAGCCGAAGTCTTCTGTTCGCCCCTGTCCTCAGGGGTGCGGCTTTAAGCTTCATGAGAAGGACCAGCATGAGGCCTGCCCGGCCTGCCTAGGAATTYTTCACGCTCGACGGGCGCTTGTGGAGCCCGAGTCCTGCCGGGCCTGTGCCYGACTTTTGCGTCCGACACTGGAGAGGAGAGTGAAATTCCTGGAGAAAATGCTGGGGGAAACTGCTGTTTTCCGACAAGACCCGCTGCTCTCCGAATCCAGCCAGACGGCTCAGTCCGACGAAGACGAGGATTCGGCGGTCGAAGCCCCCGCTGCTAGCTGGGCGGACCAGATGGAGCACGAGGTGGCCTCACCCGACATGGAGGGGTGCAAGACCCAGTTTCTACTGGATCTAAACCAAGAGGAGTACGATGTTCTGCAGATGGAGCAGGAGGTTCTCAGTCTGTCCGAAGACGACGAGGAGCCGTGCTCAGCTCACTCCACCCCCGCTGCTGCGATTCGTCCTTCTTGTCCCTGTACCACCGAGCTGCTGCTAAACTGGAGGTACAGTGGCCCGACCCCCCCACCTGCTTAAAAGCCGTTGAGGTTCGCAGGGTTTTATCTTCCGTCTGAACCGGCTGATGTGAAGCACCGTCTGCCTATGTTTCGGACTTTGTGTCGAAGCTGACGTCTTCCTGGAGCAAACCGCTGTCCATCCGCGCCTTCGTGCCCGGACAGGGTTAGTACTTGGACGTGGAAGGGGCAGACCAAGCAGGCCTGGTGGGCACCCCTCCGATGGAGCCTTCTTTAGCTGCTTATTTGGCTCCGTCTCACAACCAGGGTGTGAGCAGGCCCACCCTGCTCCCTTCCAAGCCCTGCAGATTCTCDTRYGCACAGCTGGAGAAAATCTACAAAGCCCAAGGTAACACCGCCCGTGCGCTGAGCTCCATCACCATGCTTCAGACCTACCAGGCCATGGCCTTGGCTGAACTGGCAGCTCAGATGCAGCAGGAAAACCCGCTTTTACCCCTGCTGAACGAGATCAGACTAGCGTCAGACCACATTCTACGTGTGTCCCGTTGTGCAGCGCTGGCTCTGGGGAAAGAAATAGCTTCTACTGTGGTGGCGCAGAGGCACCTGTGGCTWACGCTCTCAGACGTTCCCGACAAGGACAGAACGGCCTACTTGGATGAACCGATAATGCCTACAGGACTGTTTGGTCAAGCGCTTGACGTCATCCAAACCAAATTTGACCAGAGGAAGAAGCAGGTTGAGGCACTTCGCTGCATCATCCCCAGACGCGATGCGAGGCCCAAGGCCCCGAGCACATCCAGGTCTGCYTCTCATCCTCCTCCYTTCAAGAAGGCGGCGACYCCCGGGACTTCAAAGGCCCAGCCCGCTGAACCTTCCAGCAAGCCGCAGCCTCCCCGTCAATCAGCATGGAGCAAAGGCCCCCCTCCGAGTCAGCAGGACAGTTCAGCGGCTTGGAAGAAGAAGTCAAAGTCCTCCTAACAGCAGGACTGTCTTCACAGGGACTTCAAAAACAGAGAGACAATGMTCAGCTGCAGTTGAAAAGACATTTAAATGTTTGTGTTTCAGAAAAWGGCCCCAAGAGGCGTAGGGTTTCAAATGTTCAGTCTCCTCTGTTAATGTCCCGAAAAATAAACAAAAAACATGTAGCCCCCTCCCTGGGTGCAAATTGTGTTTTAAAATGTAAAACTTTAATAAACAGTTCTGCAAATGTTTTCAATGGGTCATTAAAGATTTATCTTTGTGCACAAGCGAACACAATAAGCTGTGGGCGACATTCAATAATGTTGTCCTTTCCCCATCCAGCGGAGGGCAGCAGCGACACGTCTCCAACAGTAAGGCAAGTCAGTCGCTTCGCAACGTGACTCCCTCTCTGGCGAGCATGCGCACCCTCTCCATGGGTAAAGAACTGTTGCTATGGGTTACAGGCTGCAGTTCCACATCAGGCCGCCTCGCTTTCT